TCCCCAAGATAAATTTAACAGCTCCAGCTTCTTCAGTGTTTATCAAAATACAAAAGAAAAAAGTAGAGGTCGTCTTTTTCGATGGCAAATCGGACCCTTGCAGGCTGAGGGAGGAAGCTACTTCACACATGGAGATGGGGGTGCTCCGGGACCTGTGGGTCTGGAGTGGACCAACCCTCCCAGCTTGTACGCACTCATGCTGGTGAGACCCAGACCTCCTGCCAGCGGGCTGAGCAGGTGCAAGAGTGAGTGGGTGCTGGGAACATGGGTTACTGCTCTGGCCACACGCCAACAAAGGGCGCATCTGGGCCGTGTCCCCTGCAATGGCTCTCCCAGCCCGCCCCCAGGTGACTGTGTGAGCACAAGTACAAGCACAACGCTATGGAATGCAAGTGACCCAAAGACAGGYGAGTCACGGGGTCTCTACTGGGACCATGCAGTGGATGGCGGTTTGTGTCACCGTCTTTGTGTTCCCACAGGGGAACAGCTGATCCGATGGACTAGCATTCAGGCTGTACACTAGGCATAGTCTCCCTTCTGTGTGTTCAARTGTTCTCCTTATCTTGTATTTTTAACTATTTTAAAAAATGCACTGAGTTTGGGTTAAAAACCAACCACCAAATGGATCCCAACACCAATCTACAGCCCAGGAGCTCCTGGAGCCCAGGTGCCCACATGCCTAAATCCCTCCTCAGTACTGACAGTGAATTGATTCTCTTTTTTACAATAAAAAAGCTGAGTAATATTGCATAGGAGTACCAGAAACTGCCTCAGTGGAAACAGAAACTATTTACATTAAATAAAAACCTGGCTGCAGGCTGCGTCTGCACATGTACAGCACGGTGCGATGCACACTGACCAACCCATGGAGACAGCTTCTGGCACTCAGGACCACAGAGTCGCACGTTTGCCACATGAGAGGAAAGCGAGGGCGGAGAGGAGAAAGTGAGGGGGTGGGGGGGAGTTCTGGTTCACTTCTGGTTCCGGAGCTGATTGGACAGCCAGTCTAGTCCTTCATAGAGCCCGTCCCCGCTGGTGGCACAGGTGGCCTGAATGTACCAGTTCCTGTGACGTAGCGAGTGCAGCCCCAGCTTGTCTGTGATTTCGGCTGCGTTCATGGCATTTGGGAGGTCCTGGGGGGAAGAAGGGGTCAGTGCAGAGCCTGAGCTTGGCACCAGACCCACCCCGGCTCCTGGGTGGTACCCACCTGCTTGTTGGCAAACACCAGGAGGACAGCGTCCCGCAGCTCATCCTCAGCCAGCATCCTCATGAGCTCCTCGCGGGCCTCATTCACACGCTCTCTGTCATTGCTGTCCACCACAAAGATCAAGCCT